CCTTTGCCAATAGGGTTGACAGGAGGATCTGGTGGTTAACCGTGTCAAAAGCAGCGAACAGATCCAGCAAGATAAGTATTGAAGATTTGGAAGCCACTCTTGCCAGTCTTAGGGCTTCAACAACCGAGAGCAAGGCAGTCTCGGTTGAATGTCCTCTTCTGAAGCCAGACTGGTTGCTGACCAGGAGGTTTTTCTTTTTGAGAAAGTCAAAGACATGGTTAAGCACAACTCGTTCATGTGTTTTTGCAATGGAAGGTAGAAGGGATACCAGTTTGTAGTTCTCTAAAAGAGCTGGGTTAAGAGCAACAATATATAAGTGCTGTGACAAGTCCCGGGTAGTCTAACGCAGTATAATAAATAAAAAGTAGAAAGAATAGAAATAGAATAGAGAGAGCTGTTAGAGGGTTAAATTAATATTTTTAATTTTGTATGTTTTTTTTATAATAAATAAAAAGAAAAGTATAGACAGAATAGAAAGAGAACGCTAGTGTTAAAGGGTCAAGGTTTATTTATTTATTTATTAATAAATAAATAAATTATTTATTCACTACCAATGAGAGGTTTGAGGACTGAAAGTTTTTTTTTTTTTAATGTTTTTGATAAGTCTCTTCTGCTCAGGGCTGCAATTATTTGATCAAAAATACAGTAAAAATTGTGAAATATTATTACAATTTCAAATAGCCGTTTTCTATGTGAATATATGTTAAAATGTAATTTATTCCTGTGATCAAAGCTACATTTTTAGCATCATTACTCCAGGCTTCAGTGTCACGTGATCCTTCAGAAATCATTCTAATATGTTGATTTGCTGCTCAAGAAACATTTCTGATTATTATCAATGTTGAAAACAGTTGTGCTGCTTCATATTTTTGTGGAAAACATGAAACATTTTATTTTTCAAAATTCTTTGATAAATAGAAAGCTCAAAAGAACAGCATTTATTTGAAATAGAAATGTTTTGAAATATTATAGATGTAATTACTGTCACTTTTGATTAATTTAATGCATCCTTGTTGAATAAAAGTATTAATTTCTTAAAAAAAATAAAACTCACTGGCCCCAAACTTTTGAAAAGTAGTGTATTTTGCCATAAAATTGAGGAAGTTCCTCTTGCTGTCATTCTAGTTCAGATTCCCGGTCACAGATTCACACTGATGATTTGAGGTGTGTGTTTGCAGGTTCATTATCTGGTTGAGAAAGGGGCCGTGATCGAGCATGTGGACTACAGTGGCATGAAGCCGCTCGATCGCGCCATCGGCTGCAGAAACACCTCAGTGGTGCTGACCTTACTGAAGAAAGGAGCCAAACTAGGTGAGACCAGCATCTGCGCTTCCACTGGATCCTATGGATGAAAATCATGACTTTTGATATTATCAATATTCATGTATTTGCTGTGAAATGTGAAGCATGATGGGGTTTTCAGTCAGAGGAGACAACATGTGGACTGAATAGTTATTGTAGTTTCAAAATGTTTTAATGCAAGAAGTAAAATACAGTGAAAAGAATCAAGAGTTTTGAATTGATTCACTGAAATAGACCATTGGTCATCAGTAACATGAACATGTGATATTTATTAGCCAATCACATCTTTCCTCCTGTGTGTGTGGTTTATGAGGACACAAATTTGTATAATGACATGGGTATTACAATGTGAAGGTTGGTTTATGAGGACACTTCCTGTGTCCCCATAATTCAAAAGGCTTAAAAAAAAAAACATACTAAATGGTGTTTTTTTGAAAATCTAAAAATGCACAAAATTTCCTGTAAGGGGTAGGGCGATAGAAAATACAGCTTGTACAGTATAAAAACCATTACTCCTATGGAGAGTCCCCGTAAACCATGTATGTGTGTGTTTTGCTGGTGCTCAGCCTTTCTCAGAACTGGCTGTTTCCACTGACTTCCATTGATTTAACTCATCATCTGCCCACAAAGTGTCATAGTGTCATGGTCTTTATGAATCGTACTCCTTGTTTTCAGAACTTATAACATCCAAAGTAATTTAATTCTGCATTTTTTGACAAGTTGGCTTTGATGAAACGCTCAGACTTTATTTAAAGGTGATTTGTGTTTAAAAAGTCATTATTTATGCATTTCATTTCAGTCTTACTGATGACACAGAAACTACACTTCACATATATCAACTAAAATGCATAATCAACTAATCATAATAATCGAAATTTAAATGAAAATAAAGTGGCTGAAGTAGTTTCCAGCATAACCAGAAAAAAAAAAAAGTGCCCCAGCTTTATTTACATCAGGGAGTTTTGGACTTTTTTGCCTGCTGAACCTCTTTGACATAGCATTGCAACATTTCTCATTTAGTTTAACTTCTTGTCTTAAAACAACTAAAGTTGAAATAAAAATAGATTTAAACTATAGATATATTTTAAAAAAATAATAATAAAAATGACAAAAGACAAAAATACATATTGATGCAAAAATAACATGCAGGTAAAAAAATAATAATAAAAAAGATCTTTAGTTTACATTTGATTTAATTTTTGAATTATTTTAATTTTACCAAACACAAACAACTCAGTGTGACAAAGCTAGATCAGTCTCAGGGCTTCCCAATCTAAGGCTCACGAGGGAACTGCAGTAGGCTCATGAGTGAATGAAAAGATGAAAATGTATTAAAAATGAGCCAGTTTTTGGGGTCCAGAACTTTCATTTCTTCAGTGGAAACAAGCAGAGTGGTTCCAGCAGCTCGGTGTCGGTGTAAAAGTGAAACACGTGTGAGGTCTGAAGGCTGCTGTGTGACTGCTGTGGATGTGTGATGCTGTATTTTCTCTTTGCATGTCTCTTTCTGCTCTGTTTTTCATTCTTCTCTCTTTTAACTGCTTTCACTAAAACCCTTATCAGGCTACAGAACGTCACCTTATGATCGAACAGGTACACTCTTTAGGTAACTCTATTTCACGCCAATTCCATACTTCTGCTCTGCTGTGTTTTAAGGATCAGTTTGATGTAACGCTCTCTCTCTCTGTCTCTCTCTCTGTCTCTCTCTCTCTCTCTCTCTCTTCTCTTTTAACTGCTTTCACTAAAACCCTCATCAGGCTACAGAACGTCACCTTATGATCGAACAGGTACACTCTTTAGGTAACTCTATTTCACGCCAATTCCATTATTCTGCTCAGCTGTGTTTTCAGGATCAGATTGATGTAACGCTCCACCTCTCTCCCTCTCTCTCTCTCAAGGTAACGCAGCCTGGGCGATGGCGACCTCCAAACCCGACATCCTCATCATCCTCCTGCAGAAGCTCATGGAGGAAGGCAACCTGCTGTATAAGGTCAGGACAGATTCAAGTTTAGCGTAATTACATGAAGACACTTAACACCTCAAGGTCGAGATTCTTCACGAGTATTCCAGAGAAGTTTTGATATGCGATATTAATGACTGAATTCCTATTCAAATAAAAATGTGAATGATTAATGTGGGGGGGTGGATTGTTGATTATAATTATAAATAATATTTTATAATTTTATATAATATTTCATAATATAATATTTTTTGTCTGTCTCCAGAATCACACCAAGATTCCTGACTTGATTTTTAGTTGTTAGACCCCTAGAGTCAAGGTATGCATTCACCTTGAGAACTTCATCTTTGTTTCCAAATGCAATGACTTCAGTTTTTTCCTTGTTTAACTGAAGAAAGTTCTGGCACATCCAACTGTTAATTTCATCAATGCATTGGCAGAGGGAGTCACTGGGGCTGTAGTCATTTGGCGATAAGGCTAGGTAAATCTAGGTATCATCAGCATAGCTGTGAAAGGCAATTTGGTTCTTTCTCGCTCCGGGTGTGTGCTCACGGTGTGTGTGTGTTCACTGCTGTGTGTGTGCACTTTGGATGGGTTAAACGCAGAGCACTAATTCCAAATATGGCTCACCATACTTGGCCACGTCACGTCACTTTTCACTTTAATAACCTCTCCCTTCTAAGTATGACCTGAACCATTTGATTACCATCCCAGAAAGCCCGACACAGTTTTCCAGTCTCTCTAGAAGTATGTTATGATCGACCGTGTCAAACACAGCACTGAGATCTGGTAGTACCAGCACTGATATTTTGCCAGAATCAGAATTTAAGCGAATATCGTTTATTATCTTAATGAGCGCTGTCTCTGTGCTGTGATGCGGTCGGAAACCAGATTGAAAATTGTCCAGGTATCCATTTGCGTTTAAGTATTTGTTCAGCTGATTAAAGACTACCTTTTCAATAATCTTGCCTATAAAAGGAAGATTTGATATTGGTCTATAGTTGCTCAATATGGTGTTATCAAGATTGCTGTTTTTCAGAAGGGGTTTAACAACTGCAGTTTATTAACTGCAGTTAATAAATTATTATTATTATTATTATTTAGTATATTAACGTCTGAACGCTTATTAAACTAAAAATGGGAACGATTATCTCCATAAGCCTTATCAGAGCACTGAGCTTGAATCCAGGAGAAACGGGATTGGAAATAATGACATATTGAGTGATTGTTATCAGAGCAGACGATGTGTGTGAGACGTTTGTGTCAGGATGATCTGTGATTGATGAGCTGCGTTTCTCTCTCTCAGAGGGGGAAGATGAAGGAAGCAGCTCAGCGGTATCAGTACGCATTGAGGAAGTTTCCCAGAGAGGGATTCGGTGATGAACTCAAGGCCTTTAAGGAGCTGCGTGTGTCTTTGTACCTCAGTCTCTCCCGCTGCCGCCGGAAAACCAACGTAAGACACCGGAAGCATTAGAAATGTGCTCTCATTTACTTCTGCCTCTTCTGTACAGTCAGCTGATTTTTATAACTTTCTGTAGACATGCTTTCATATAAATTCATCAGGAGCTAGACATATATAATGTTCAGATTTTGAATTCACCTATTAATACTGGTGGAAATCGAGGTTTTCAAACATCCTTCATCAAAAAATGTTTTACAACCCACACGATAGTTTTAAAATACAACAGACTGGCAGTGTTATTTTAGTATTATTTATACACTATTTAAGTATTTATTCATATTCTGAATTAGCTTTTACTTTTACATTTTCAGTTTTTATTTAAAATTTTTTTTGTTATTATTAGGTTTCTTTTGTTTGTTTTTAATATTCCTATTTATTTTATTTCAGTTTTAGATTTAGTAATTTTTTTGTAAATCAGCTTAATTTCATTTCAGTTAGTTGTCAAGTAAAGTTTTTCATGTCATTTATCAATATAAATATAATTTATCCTAACATATGTAATACGTAATTTTTGTAACATTTCGTCCAAATTTTAAATACAAAATCTTATCATTTAGACAAAATAAATGGTCAAAATAACAAAAAAATTCCATGTTTTCAGACATATTCATATTGATTTTTAGACAACTCGATACCAATGCTTTAACTTCAGAAGAGTTAATAAATCAATATTTGGTGGAATAACACTGATTTTCAATCACAACAAATAAAAAACATTTGTTATTTTGACCAATTGTCATTTTCTGCAAAAAAAAAAAAGAAAAAAAGCTCTTAATGACAATATTTGTATTTGAAATTTGGAAGATATGTTATCAGACCTTTACAGAATAAAACAAATATTAACATTTTACTCAAATCCATACCTAGTATATCCAGAAAAACTGAGCATTTTCAAGTGGTCACTTAATTTTGTCCATAGCTGTGTATTTTATAATCTATTTTATTATATAATCTATTTTATTTCTGATTTATTTACATTTTAGTCAACAACACTGCACGTCATTTTTTTCTCTTTTAATACATTTTACAATAATCACATTATTTTATTTACAAATTTGCACATCAAATTTTATTTAATTTGTTATTATTGATGCTAAGTTAATTTATCCCTATTTAAATGATGATCGACTCTAAATTCTTGATATCCCTAATTGTAAAATTAATAATATATATTATATAATGTTTATATGTAATTTTAGCCAAGGTCTAGAGACGCCCCTGCTGGTTCTGCTGGTCTGGATCAATCAGATTGAGGTTTTTCTCTGCTCAAAATGTCAGACACGGCAAGACCAGAAAGATGCAAATTACTCCGAGGGCTTGAATTGATTTGAAGGTCTATTCAGAAGTAATAGCCTGGCTCCAAAAGGTCTCCTGACACAATACGGAGCCAATTTTCAGTCTGCACCTTTGACTGATGACACAATGAACAACAGCTGAAGAGTTCATTAATTAAATCACCTATTATTTGGACCAATTTACAGCTATTCAGTCATGCTAAATCCTGCAGCTCTGGCTGAGTGGATGATTGCTTCTCTTAGTTTGGCTGTTCTGAGTTTTGGTACCTTACATTCACCTCACTCTCTCTGACAGGACTTTGGATTGGCGGAGGAGTTTGCAACCAAGGCTTTGGAGCTCAAACCCAAATCGTACGAGGCGTACTACGCTAGAGCCAGAGCCAAACGCAGCAGCAGGTGAGACCATGATGCATCTTCATCTGCTCCAAACCTAGTGAGCTGCCTACTTAGGCAACATTTTAAGGCATCACTGGTGCACTTTAGATGCAAAGTCTGTTCTGGTCAAGTCAGAATTGCATTAAATATCAAACTGAAAAATATTGTTTTTCTTACAGTGCTAAATGTTGATTATAATTAAAAATTCTAATCTATAAAAGATTATTTAAAAAAAATATATAAATATAATTCACCCATTTAAAATGGTGGAGTGAGTGATAGTTGATTAATGTTGATTACAATTATAACTTATACATTTAATGTTTAATTTAATGTTTTAATGTTTAATTTAAATGAATTCATTCATATCATTTGTGTAATTAAAATTATAAATATTTTGAATATTTTTAGT